CGGCGGCGGCGCGGGAGGAGCGCGCGGCGGCGGCGGCGGCAGCGGAAGGCGAGGATTAAAACCTAAAAACTGATACCATGTGGAAAGATGATTTGCAATACAATAATCGTTGTATTGATGGAGTGCTAGTGCACATATATATAATACAAGGGAAGGCCTCTACCTCAACTATATAAGACTAGGAGGTGGACCACAACTTCAATACACGTGCAATACAAAACACATACTCAACATTCTTCTTTCATTACAGGCTCTGGGTGCATTTTTCATGCCTGTGCTTCATATCCTTTTATGTGGTGTATTTGCTTCACAAGGTGGGTGTTTGTAAATACTGTCAGCTAACCAACTTCTATTTGTTCAGTTCGGGCGTTTGATAGTTGGCAGCAAAATTCAGTCTTGTTACCTTGTTTAACTTCTGAAATTTTTAGTGAATTGTCGGTAGGTTTTCCTTATCAAGCACTGCTGATTTCATTTAAACACTCGCGGTAATTGGCTGAAAGATGTATCATTGTAGAAGTGACTATTCTGCTCTGATTGTAAGCTGAAATATTGTCGGTAGGTTTTCCTTATCAAGCTCTGCTTTGAATCAAAGTCAGCCGACACGAGTTTGCCAAGTTCGGCGATAGAATGAACTCAGTAAAGTTCTAGAACTCGGCACAAAACCAGATTCTAGTACTAGTGACATATGCATGTGTTGAATTAAATGTATCCCTTTCAATGCACATGGCACAAATACTTACCAAACAATCCCGATTCGCAATCATATTTATGCATGCGTACAATTAACGTGGGCGTGATCACAGTGAGCTGCAGTCGGCAGTTTGGAAAGAGAGCTCCTCCTTAGTAAGGTCGTACAACAAGTGCATGTTCTGCAACTGGAAGTTGCCGATGATGCTCACGTAGCTGGATTTATGCATCACCATGCATGACATGGAATCATCCAGCGGCACCCAGTAGTTCTCTGGCGGCAGCACCATGTCCGCTCCGCCACTGAAGTGGAACACCATGGACGGCACCGTCTTTTCCTGCGCCAGTGCCACACACAGGTCGATCCCACTGCCAGCAGGTGGCGGCAGGAGGCTCCCGTGTAGCTGCCTCCGGAGCTCCTCTCTCAGAGGCCTGTACGCCCCATTGATCAGAACCGAAGTGGGGTTACCAGAGTCGATAAAGACACCGCCGCCGGTGCCGTTTTGTTTCAGAGCGAACACCATCGGTGGGATGGAAAGTCTTGTTTTTCCCACGCTTATTCCGATGAGTGGGACATAGTAGAATGGGTTCCTCTTAGGGCCTTGCACGAAAGACATGGACATCACAGGGCTGCCGCCGCTGAGCCTCGCCGTGGCGCCGACGAAAAGGTGGCTGCTGGCACCGGGAGTGGCGTTGCTGCGGAGGTAGGGGGTGTGGCAGTAAGAGAACTTGCTGGCACCTATCTGAGAGACGAGCGACAGGGGGCCACGGCCAAGCCCTATGAGGCCGGACGCCCCGTCAAGGGACCCCGGAGTGATCATCAGCGTGTCGACGCAGCCGAACGTGAGCGTCACCGAGCCGTGTTCAAAGGCGAAGACCTCCGTGCCGATGGACCCTCTAGCGTCGCCAGCGCCGTAGAAGGCCCCGAAAGCGCAGCTGCCATCCGGGCGGCACGAGTGCGCCTGGTTGGCTAGGCACAAGGTGTCGTTGCATGGCACGGGGTGGAAGCTGTCCGACTTGGACGCGTTATAGTAGGGCAGGCCCTGCATGACGCAGGATCCTTTGAGGCTGCAGGTGGAGCACTGCGTCCAGATGAGGTCGCTACCGGTGTCGATGAGGGCCTCGGCGCGCTGCGGTGGGTTGCCGATCAGGTACTCGGCGATGTACTGGCTGGTGTTCCAGTGGACCGGTGCGCTCACGTCGACAAAGGACGCCAGGCGCTGCCGGCTGCTGGCCATGGCGCGCTGCACGCGCTCCGCCACTGTGTAGTTCCCCTTGCCATCGACATGGATGAGCTCCATGTGTAGCCCTGCGCTACTACAAGTAACTAGGGTAGCAGCACTCGAGCACAACGCAACGATCAGCACCAGCCTTATTTCCATTGTTTCCCTTGTTGGTTTGATGCAAGCTCCTCACCATGTTATAACTTAATTGGTAACCTGTGGCCTCCATATATATTCATCTGGATAACATGTGGAAACAAACAAACTGACGGAGGATTGACGTAGTACGTACATTCATAATTTAATATACACTAGCTAGTAGTATAATCAAATCTTGGGTGCCGGCCTGAACCATGCACGGGATATGGGCGGACTTCCTTATGGCAGCATAGACATAGGACAGTCGTACTACTACCATTTTCGAAAATTCTACCATTATAGATACAGAATAGGCAGCGGCTGTCGTTACATCGCTCATCTCTCCAAGTGTCAGCCTTTACAAGAAGCTTGGATTTTGTCGCCAAATCCTAGTGTGTGTTTTTATCATTTGTTCTTAAGGGTTGCTAGACAATTATTTGACGCGGTAAACCTCCTAATATAACATTATGACTTACTAGTATAGTTATATATCGTGCTGTCTGTGTTCTTGCATGTAATGATTAATCTAACAACGCATAGAAAAATTAAGACACAAATACAAATCTAGTAGACCAAATCAATTATCTACGAAAATCCCGAAACATCATTCAGTTAAATAGCGAATAACAACCTATGGGTCTCCAAACTATTTATTACTATTAAAGTTCACTGGCACAAATGCCTGTACATTGCACCCGGAGGGGTTTCTGCTTGTGCACTACAGAAAGTTTCTTTTTGTGAAATAGAAATAAAGTACCATGCTGGTGTTGTTGTGGACATGATATCTGAAATGTATATCGTGAGATTATCCAATGTTTATTGAAGTCTATAGTTTTTTTATCATTGATGAGTTGTTAGGTTTAAGATGTACGATTTCATGTTGTTGAATGTTTGTTCGTCTGCCCTTGAATAAGGTTTGGGGGAATCAAATGTTAACATCAAATCTGCGGTGGTGTGAGGATGTAATGAATTTGTGATCCTTGCAGCAGCTAAAATGCATTACAAATCATGGTGCACCAGCTTCTAGTTATTTAAAGTAGGCAAGCGGTAAGAACCTATATAATGTAAAATCTGAGCATAAACAACAAACTACCTTATGCTTATGTATTACTCCTCGAATCCCAAATGTATGTGTTTGTCTTTCCTACTCTTTTCAACATGTATGTTGTAATAGGATTTCTAGGAATTTGTCCCCATTTTTTTTCTTTATACCGTTGTTAAAATGAAAGCTCTCATGAATAAATGAGGTATCTTTTCCAATGTGCAATAACTGTATGGCATGGGCATATTCGTGGACAAAATACACGTACGGCAGAAGAAGCAACTGACTTCCCTAGCAAACTAGAGTTGGCTTAGTTCTGTTTTTTTTTTTTTGGTTTATCAGGTTGTTTGTTTGTTAGCTTCTAGTCAGGAGGTTTGATTTCGTAGTCTGGAGTAAGGTGAACTTGTTAGGGCCAACTCTATAAGAAAACAACAAAACATTTGACATTAAGCAAGGAAAATTAAACCCGCCTAATCGGCCTTTCAGAGTCTCTCTGGTGAGGGAACACGCCGTAGCTCCTTGCTACTCCTACCCACGAAACTAGCATATCACATCATTGTTATTTTTGCATGTTCTTAATTATTTCTTGGTCTGGAGTAAGGTGAATATCAAAATTTGGGAACAGAGCAGGTGATAACTCTACTAAAAACAAAACCAAGGCCACAGTAATATTTCCATCCTCTATCCCAGCTTTTATGATTTAAAATTCATCAAGTGGTTGAAACAAGCACCAAGAGAAGTATTTAGGTTGAATCTCATTTCTTCTATGCATGTGACAGGACTGGATCGTATTATATTGTAAAAATAGAATTATGAATGTTCAAAGATAAGTTTAGAACTGTACCTTATGTGCGATGACGGGATCATCCCTACTATGATTTAAAACATAGTTAAGCATCGGATCATTATCATCCCGTGCTGCTATGTACCCATACAATTGTATGGAGTCATTGCTGATGGAACACTCAGCCAACGTCAATGAGAAAAATTGCAACATATTCCTTGAAAATAAAAATTCTGGTCTGGCTTCGAGATCCTCATCCGCTCCAACCGACCTTCACGAAGAAGTACATAATATATAACAATTATTAGTTCGTGTAGTGGAGAAATTACATATTACAAAAAGATAAACATCATTTTAACCGGTGCATTGCGCTAAGTTGTATAGAACCATTGTATAAAGAATACTGTGAGCTAGCTCAATGTAGGCATGAAAAAACAACAACATGTTTCAAAACACCTGAGTTGAACAAGTTTATGATCCTAAGAGTTTTTCATATACATGTGGGTTTCCCAAAATTGAAAAAAGTAGCTAGGTCAAAAGTACTCCCTTCGTTCCACAATGTAGTGCATATAGATTTTTGGAAAAGTCAAACTTTATAAAATTTGATCAAGTTTGTAAAGAAAAACACATACATCTATAATACTAAATACATATCTTTAGATACATCACAAGACGTAATTTCATATTGTATATATTTATTATTGTAGATATAATTAGTTTTCTCTATAAAGTTGGTCAAAAGTTTGTATAGTTTGACTTTTCAGAAAATCTATATGCAATACTCCCTCCATCCCCAAATGCAAGCATTTATAACATTTGGAGTCTTTCCACAAATGTAGAGATTTCTGGAGTATTGAACCTCGACCTAAGGAAATAAAATGGTACACTCTAAGAAAAGACTAGAATGATTACACTTGTGGAAGGAGGGAGTACACTCTTATAAAAGTAAATATAATGGTAGAGATGTCCTAACCGCAAAAAACACTAGTATAAATAATATGAACTCATCACATGAATCACTGAATTCTCTAAGGCGGTGAGTGCCCTTATTGTGAACTTGGACACAAATTAGTTAATCCATTAACTTTGGGTTATCTAATTTACTTGGCAAAATAAGTCCTATCATGAAACTGTACTGGAGCTATTTGCAACACTTTTTCAGCCATCTGGTCCGCATGCCATAGGATAAAGCATCTTGCCACACTTATGGTGGCCATTTTAGTCGACCATCAGGGCCCACCTTTGTTTATGCATGAAAGTATTCTATTGTATAAACTTACTTTTAGTTTACATGTTCGCTCTGGTATCATATATTGTACTATATGAATTTTGATTTTTGCTAGCACATATGTCCGTGGGTTGCAACGGGAGAAAAAATAGTTTACATTTAAATTTAGTGAGAATTATATGTGCAAGCATAATCTTGTGTGCACGCCAAGAAGGAACATTTAGAACATTTATATTCTGGTTTCGCCACTTGTGAAGTAACCAATCTCTAACTTTTTTCATTCATTGATCAAGGGAATTTAAGGTATGAAGTTTATACATTTAGGTCCTGGATTTTGTTCGGTCATCGCATGCAAGGGAAGGCCTGTAAATTATTCAACCTAATTTTCCATATATATATAGACATAGGATTAAAGGAAAGTTGAAATGGATGGGAAGAATCGGGGAGGGGGGGGGGCATGGTTGGGGGATGGAAAATGTAGGTGCTCATCTCCAAATAACAGAAAGGGACAGGAAGCGGAAGGATCTACGTTGCAACATGGGAGTGGAATACCGTTATGTAGCAGTTGAGTTTTCTGTTTGGTCTGACATGTGTAGTTAAGTAAACGAAACAAAGAACATTTTTAAGCCAAGATTTTGGGAGCGGATGCGAAGTATACCGAGCTAGACGATGATGTCGTCGAATTGTCACTTTACTACCAAATTAATTAAGAGGTAACAAACTTTTCCTTCCAATCTCAAGCAATCCTTTCTAGTTTCTTCCCCTTAATTTCAATACAAAGTTCGAAATGGTACGTTACAAATCGATTGGTAGATCTGGCTAGCTGGCATGAGCATAGACAAGCATAGACGAGATGACGATGGATGGAATCATGGATCAAACAGCAGCCTTGGTTGGCCTGGGGACGTACTTGCGGAGCCAAATCTCACGTTGTCCTATGGGGATCTTGACGAGCATCTCGCCGTTGAGCACGAGCTTCCCGATCGCCTCTGTCTTGAAGATGATCCGGCCATACATGGGCATGTGGCCTCCCTTAGTCTTCTCCATCAGTACCCTTACCACACAGTCACCCCACTTGCTGCACCCATGCATGCAAACCATGAGACATGATCCAGATCCAATCATCATGAATCATGCATGCAGATCTTAGTAGATCCATGTGTACAAATAAACTTAATCAATAGATCGACTAGTGTATGCAAGTGCACACTTACTGCCTGAAGTACTCAAAGATCTCCTCATGGTGGAGGGCATTTCCTTTGGAGAAGGTGATGAACATGGAGCGGCAGTCCTCCGACACTGCCACTGGTTGGGAGGTGTAGGGCACCATGAGCTCCGGCGGGTTGACAATCATCCCAGTCTGGACCTCCGGAGCAGGACATGCAGGCGGTCGTCGAATATGAACTTGCCGGCACCGTCGAGGAAGTGGGCGACCCCGCGGACGACGAGGTCCTGGTGGAAGGTGAAGAAGCCCGGCTCGATGTGGACACCGCCTTGCATGCAGAGCGCAGAGATGATCGGGATGGGCGGGAGCGCAGGTTTCTGGTGGCGGAGGCACTCGAGGACGGCGTTGGCCTCTTCTGCGACGACGACGATGACGTCGGGCACCATGGGTGGGACGTGGTGGATGGCGGAGATGGTGCCCTGGTCCAGCCACACCAGCAGCGCCACCGCATTCTGGGCTTTCTCTGGGTTCCCGCACACGGACAAGAACCGGTTGTATGCCTGCCATGCGACGCTGTACATGTACAACACCTCGCGCACCGTCATCGCCGCCATGGTTGCTCTGGTTATTTGGTTGCTCTTGCACCGGCCGGCCGGAGAAGAGGCGACGGGTGACTGACCCGAGAAGAGAAACTAGCAAGAGAGGAGCGAGGAAGGGGTGATGGGTTGATGGGGAATGGACCGATATTTGTAGGTTCGCCTGCTCCTGTTCCGGCGACGCGGCTGCGCTCTGGCCGGTGGAAGGTTTAATGAGGTGCCAAAACTGGGCCAGCGGGAAACAACTCTCTTTGAACCAGTTTCAAACGCCAGCGTGTACATCGTTTTTGATTTCTAGTTCGTTTTACATCCTCTAAAACGTATACATATGTCGTTACTTAACAACTTTGGATGCGGTGCAACACTTGTATATCCTTCTAAATTTGCACTATCTTTTTCTTGCTACTGGTTAATGTTATACTCAGCAGAGTTCACATGTTATACTTTTCTTTTCGGTTTCATTTACATATATAGAGGACATGACATTGTGATTCCTTATTCTCTACATAAACTTTGTTGTCGCTCTAGCTACCTGCTTCCCCCATTATCAATGGTGCAAGCGTCAAGTCAGGACACCACCGTGCAAGATTGTCAGAATCATGATTTTGAATCGGATTGGAGCTCGAATAGTAGGATCGCAAATCATAGAATCTTTACTATCAGGATCGTAGAAACGTAGATTCTATGAAGTAAAATCGTAGAATCATAGAGGATAGTTTGGATCGTAAAGTCGTAGAATCGTATAACAGAATCGTGATTCTGACAACCTTGCCACCGTGCCACCATTAGATTGTGAGCTAACTACACTGGCAGAGGTTTGGCAGGGCCGTCCTGGGCCACTGGCTCCTAGCCCAAGATTTTTCTTCATCTGAATATCCCTTGTTAAATGGGTTAAATCTTTACGAAAACCTGTCCAAAACTAGTTTTGCTTGCCTTCCTAGTCCATTTACCCGCCAGGATTATGGCCTAAGCTCCGCTACTGGGGAGCTAAGCCTGTATGTTTATGTGGCCTACTAAATTTGGTAGAAGATATACAATACAATAGACACAGCAAGGAAAACAACTCCATATATAACAACAAAGGAAAGATATGGTGCGGCAACACACACCTTTGCTTGTAGTATTAGTTTTCTATACCGGGGTGTCGATATGTCAAGATGTCAACAACGATGGTGTTATAGCCAAAGTGCTAATGATGTATTGTCAAACTGGTGTCAGTGGTTAGGACATTTCACACCATTTGTCACTTCTCACTGTCAACACACACAAGTTCAGGAAGGCTATCTTTCTCACTATTTTTGTGTAGATTTTAAAATGTATCTCTTCTCTTTAGTCATATAATTTTTCCTAATAGTAAACCATGTTCTTGTATAAAGCCCGTAAGAGTTATTCACATATACGTTTCGTGGGAGTATGATCATGAATCCTATTTTATAGTATGAGTGTTTCTCCCCCATCTCATCACTCATTTGTCCCTTTTCTATCTCTAAAATTCTTTTTGTCTCTCCGGTGACCATCTCTGGCAAGGTTAGTCTAAGAAGTGGAGATGTTCTCTATGGTGCTTTCGATTGACGACTCATTTTCTGAGTCGGTCGGGTGCACAGATTCGGTATGATCTAGCTGACCTTGATGACACACAAGTATATGGGATCAATCGTAGTCCTTCCGATAAGTAAGAGTGTTGAACCCAACGAGGAGCAGAAGAAATTCATAGGCTGTTTTCAGCCAGACTTCACTTCAAGTGTTGTAAGATAGTTTTGATACATATTTGATAGCAAGACAAATACTTACAAGGTAAAAAAGTTAACGTAGTAACAAAGTGCAGCAAGTGACCCCATCCTAAATTGTGCTAAGGACAAGTTAGTGGTGTTTCTTATAGTGGCTAAGTGCTCTTGAGGACACACAAAAATATTGCGAAGTTACTTTCACCGTGATTCATTGAATTGACGTTGATTGTCTCGATAAGTGTTATGTGGGTGAACTGGAGCTAAGGTGTTGTCCTAACTTTAACAATAACCTACTTATGATTATACTCTCCACGCAAGCATCCACAACTACAATAGAAGTACTCCCTCCGTCCTTTAAATACTTTACTTCCAACTTTGTTGGAAAGTAAAAAAAATATGTTTGACCATATTTATACAATAATACACCAACATTTATGCCATCAAATTATTAGCATTAGATTCATGATAAATTATATTTTCATCATATACCTATTTGGTTTCACAAACATTGATTTATTTTGCACAAACTCAGTCTTACTTTGAGATAGTCTGACCCTCCAAAAAAGTTGGAAGAACACTCTTTCAAGGATAGGTGGAGTAATTAAGATAAATCTAACCATAGAATTAAACAATTGGATTCATAATAGCCCCTTACGAAATAATTCATAAACTAGGGTTTGAGTCTCTATCACTCCCACAATCCATCATCTACAAACAGATTCATCAATGCCTTCCCATAGGCCCAAAGATGGTGAATATGTTCATGTAGTCGATGTTCACATAACACTAATAGAGAAAGAACAACAAAACATAATGTCAAAACATGAACGGGAATTAACTTACATGACTACTAGTAACAAGACTTCTCGCATGTCCTCAAGAACAAATGGCACTACACGCAACTTATCAAATTGATCACGATGAGTGGGTATAAATATATGATTAAAAATCTGAACATCACAATCTTCCACCAATAAAAGCATAAGAATCAACTACAAGATATAATCAACATCTAGAAGCACTCCCAAGTACCAATCTGAGGTTTTATACAACGTTTGAACACAAGAGAAGAACTAGGGGTTGGAGATGAGATGGTGCTGATGAATATATGACCCCCAAGATGAACAGAGTGTTGGTGATGATGAAGGGTTCGATTCCGCCTTCCGGAGGAAAGTTTCCCCCGCACAACTGAGGGAGTCCTGGATTAAGGGGTCCTTGGATGGCCGGACTATTAACATGGGCCGGACTGTTGGGCTATGGAGATAAAAGACAGAAGACTTCTTCCCGTGTCCGGATGGGACTCTCCTTTGCGTGGATGGCAAGCTTGGTGATTCGGATATGTAGATTGCTTTCTCTGTAACTGACTTTGTATAACCCTAGTCCCCTTCGGTGTCTATATAAACCGGTGGGTTTAGTCCGTAGAGGCAATCATAATCACACAGGCTAGACTTCTAGGGTTTTAGCCATTAGGATCTCGTGGTAGATCAACTCTTGTCATACTCATATTCATCAAGATCAATCAAGCAGGAAGTACGGTATTACCTCCATAGAGAGGGCCTGAACCTGGGTAAACATTGTGTCCCCCGCCTCCTGTTACCATTAGCCTTAGACGCACAGTTCGGGACCCCCTACCCGAGATCCGCCGATTTTAACACCGACATTGGTGCTTTCATTGAGAGTTCCGCTGCGTCGTCACCAAAAGGTTTGATGGCTCTGTCAATCGTCTACAACAATGCAGTCTAGGGGGAGGTTTTCCTCCCCAGACAGATCTTCGTATTCCGCGGCTTCGTACTGCGGGCCAACTCGCTTGGCCATCTAGAGCAGATCGAAAGCAACACCCCTGGCCATCGGGTCAGATTTGGAAGCTTGAATTACGTGGCCGATATCCATGGAGACTTGATCTTCGACGAAGCCCATGACGGCTGCTCCCTGCCACCACGATGAACATGACCTAAATCTGTCATCTGACTGTGCGCATGAGATAGCACCTATAACCGCTCTGGCCCTAGATCCGGAGCAGATTGCGCCATTCGAGGACGGGATGCTCAACCCTGCCACAGAAGCCGCAGACTTAGCGGCGGTGGAGCCGCACACAGGTCCAACCTCGAGCTGGGCCTGTGTCATCGGAACCTCGAATTCGTCTCTGGCCATAAGTTTTGAACCGCGCACATCCGTGCCAATCGAACTTGATCAGGCGCCGATTGTCGAGTTCAGCTCCGCGGACATCTCCCGGCACGCACCTTTAGGCGATGTGCTAAATTCACTAAAAGCCCTCTCCTTGTCAGGAAACTCGCAGCCGAACTATATCCGGCTTGAATTTGAAGCTGATGACGGAGAATTTCGCTTCCCACCCACCACCCACTACATAGCCACTATTGAGGACTTAACGACATGCTCGACTACGACTCCAAAGACATCGACGGTATGGACGATGATGCTGGAGAGGAGCAGGCACAAAAACCACCGCTTCTAGGGCGCTGGACGGCCACCTCCTCGTATGACGTATACATGATGGATACACCCAAAGAGAACAACGACGACAATGAAAATCCAGTCGAGGATAAGCCTCCTGAGATACAGCCAAAGCGCCGGCTTCAGCGGCGCTGCTCTAAGCCACGCCGTGGTAAAAACAGCAATACCGTCACAGGAGAAAATAATACTCCGGACGATGCCGAAGATAATGAAGACCCCGTTGAGCCAACCTCCGAACAGGATGAATGGGAAGATGGGCGATAGCCCTAACGAACAGGCCATGGATGAAGACTCAGAGGACAACAACTACCTTCCTCTCTCCGAGGACGAGGTGAGCCTCAACGACGAAGACTTTATCATGCCTGAGGAGCCCGTCGAACAGGAGTGCTTTAAGCGCCGGCTAATAGCCACTGCAAGCAGCCTAAAAAAGAAGCAGCAACAGCTTCAAGCTGATCAAGATCTGCTCAATGACAGATGGACCAATGTCCTGACAGCCGACAAATATGGCCTTGAACGCCAAACCAAAAGTTACCCGAAGCGCAAACTGTTAGCACGGTTCGATGACGAGGCGCTGGAGCCCGTCCTACAAGCGCATAATGCGGCAGACCGGCCACCACGCGGTCGGGACAAAGCGGCACCTCGAGCCGAACACCAGCCCGCACTACCTCGCCGTAAAAACAGAAATACACCAGCTCGGGGATGTACATATGACCTGTGGCATGACCTGGAAAACAGAGCAGGTCAGACCAGATCGATCTATGGATCACGGGGGCGTGCTCTGATGCGCGACGATGGCCATCCGGCTGGACATAACAAACATAACCACGTCCGGGCCGAAAACCGCAGACGAACTCCATCCGAGCTACATCACGACCTGACACGATATAGAGGCGCCGCACACCCCCTTTGCTTCACTGACGAAGTAATGGAACATGAATTCCTGGAAGGGTTTAAACCCGTAACATCGAATCATATGATGGGACAACAGACCCCTTAGTGTGGATTGAAGATTTCCTTCTTCATATTCATATGGCCCGCGGCGATGGTCTTCATGCCATCAAATACCTCCGGCTAAAACTCAAGGGACCAGCTCGACACTGGTTGAACAGTCTGCCCGAAAACTCCATCGGCAGCTGGGAAGACTTGGAGGATGCCTTCCTCGACAACTTCCAAGGGACAAATGTCCGACCTCCAGATGCCGATGACTTAAGTCACATAGTTCAACAGCCTGGAGAGTCAACCAGGAAATTCTGGACTAGATTCTTAACTAAAAAGAACCAGATCATCGACTGTCCGGATGCCGAAGCCTTAGTGGCCTTTAAGCACAATATCCGCGGCGAATGGCTCGCCCGACACCTCAGCCAAGAAAAGCCAAAGTCCATGGCAGCCCTCACAGCACTCATGACCCGCTTCTGTGTGGGCGAAGATAGCTGGCTAGCCCGTAGCAATAACAGTACAAGTGAACCTGGCACTTTTGAAGCCAGAAATATGCTTTGACGTATTAATAAAATTACAATGCAAAATAGTCTACGACCCAATTTTTGGAGCATTAGCCTATTAGTTCATTTTTTCCTTTTCTTGATATTTTTATCAAATTGCCCCATACACTCTGGTACGACTTAATTTGCCAGGGGCTTCATCATGCTCCATAATACGACAACAAAGTCCGAACACTTTTTTACAGCGTAGTTCGACACTCTGAACTTATAGCATTATATGCATCGGCTCCGAATCATGTCTTTGATCAATAGTTGGGTTGCCCGGCTCCTGTACTTGCTACCTTACGTTCCGCTATATCGGCTCGGGTAGTAAAGGGAGAACTACTGCGTTTGTGTGCTGGCTCATCCGGATGAGCACCTCAGTATAGAAAGCCGAAAACTAACTCATGATGCGGCATGAGCAGGTCAGCTGTTCGAGAGGTTACAAATCTTTAACGATTTTTTCTGTACTATGCGATGACTCGGTTTTTATTCGATCAGGTGTTTACAGTATGCCAAGTTCGGACTTATGAACACTAGGGGCTGCGCCTAAGCTTTTATTGTCGAACTCCTATGGCTAAGTGAGGGTGATAAAGCCACATTGTCCGATTGCCTTGTTCGTTGCGCTAAACACCTCCTTTAAGGAAAAAACTTTGGAGCAAAGAGTGTTTAGATTTATCCCGAACACCCCCGTACTATCTACATGGGGGGCAGAAGCCGACGACTGGTCAACTCTCAGATTTAACAATATGGCCGCATAGGAGGTAAAAGTTTAAATTACAAGCATTATATTACATATGCACTATGAGATCAAAACCTACAATTTCCATGCACCAACGATTTGGAAAGAAATGAAAGGATATTGAAACAATGTCAGTGGTTTCTTCCATGCCAGTAATGGAGCATCAAGCTTATAATTAGGCATGTCTCTCTCCATGGAATGGAAATGGTACGTGGCTCCCAATGAGGTGTCATGTGCCGAGGAAAGGAAAGAAATAACAATACATATATAGACATAGGATTAAAGGAAAGTTGAAATGGACGGGGAGAATCGGGGAGGGGGGGGGGGCATGGTTGGGGGATGGCAAATGTAGGTGCTCATCTCCAAATAACAGAAAGGGACAGGAAGCAGAAGGATCTACGTTGCAACATGGGAGTGGAATACCGTTATGTAGCAGTTGAGTTTTCTGTTTGGTCTGACATGTGTAGTTAAGTAAACGAAACAAAGAACATTTTTAAGCCAAGATTTTGGGAGCGGATGCGAAGTATACTGAGCTAGACGATGATGTCATTGAATTGTTACTTTACTACCAAATTAATTAAGAGGTAACAAACTTTTCCTTCCAATCTCAAGCAATCCTTTCTAGTTTCTTCCCCTTAATTTCAATACAAAATCCATTTCGAAATGGCACGTTACAAATCGATTGGTAGATCTAGCGAGCTCGCATGAGCATAGTCAAGCATAGACGAGACGACGATGGATGGAATCATGGATCAAACGGCAGCGTTGGTTGGCCTCGGGACATACTTGCGGAGCCAAATCTCACGTAGTTTGATGGGGATCTTGACGAGCCTCTCGCCGTTGAGCACGAGCTTCCTGATCACCTCTGTCTTGAAGATGATCCGGCCATACATGGGCGTGTGGCCTCCCTTGGTCTTCTCCATCAGTACCCTTACCACACAGTCATCTCACTTCCTGCACCCATGCATGCAAACCATGAGACATGATCCAGTTCCAATCAGCATGAATCATGCATGCAGATCTTAGTAGATCCATGTGTACACATAAACTTAATCAATAGATTGACTAGTGTATGCCAAGTACTCAAAGATCTCCTCGCGGTGGAGGGCATTTCCTTTGGAGAAGGTGATGAACATGGAGTGGCAGTCCTCCGACACTGCCACTGGTTGGGATGTGTAGGGCGCCATGAGCTCCGGCGGGTTGACAATCAGCCCAGTCTCGGACCTCCGGAGCAGGACATGTAGGCGGTCGTCGAATACAAACTTGTCGGCACCATCGAGGAAGTGGGTGACCCCGCGGACGACGAGGTCCTGGTGGAAGGTGAAGAAGCCCGGCTCGATGTGGACACCGCCTTGCATGTAGAGCGCAGAGATGATCGGGATGGGCGGGAGCGCAGGTTTCTGGTGGCGGAGGCACTCGAGGACGACTTTGGCCTCTTCTTCAACGACGGCGACGGCGTCGGGCACCATGGCTGGGACGTGGTGGATGGCGGAGATGGTGCCCTGGTCCAGACACACCAGCAGTGGCACCGCATTCTGGGCTTTCTCTGGGCTCCCGCACACGGACAAGAACCGGTTGTATGCCTGCCGTGCGATGTTGTACATGTACAACACCTCGCGCACCGTCATCGCCGCCATGGTTGCTCTGTTTATTTGGTTGCTCTTTGATGTCTACTACACAACCTTCTTCTTGTAGACGTTGTTGGGCCTGCAAGTGCACAGGTTTGTAGGACAGTAGCAAATTTCCCTCAAGTGGATGACCTAAGGTTTATCAATCCGTAGGAGGCGGAGGATGAAGATGGTCTCTCTCAAACAACCCCGCAACCAAATAACAAAGAGTCTCTTGTGTCCCCAACACACCCAATACAATGGTAAATTGTATAGGTGCACTAGTTCGGCGAAGAGATGAAGATACAAGTGCAAAATCGATAGTAGATAAAGGTTTTTGTAATCTGAAATAATAAAAACAGCAAGGTAGCGAGCGATAAAAGTGAGCGTAAATGGTATTGCAATGGTAGGAAACAAGGCCTAGGGTTCGTACTTTCACTAGTGCAAGTTCTCTCAACAATAATAACATAGATAGAACATATGACAAGCCCTCAACATGCAACAAAGAGTCACTCCAAAGCCACTAATAGCGGAGAACAAACATAGAGATTATGGTCGGGTACGAAACCACCACAAAGTTATTCTTTCGGATCGATCTATAAAAGAGTTCGTACTAGAATAACACCTTAAGACACAAATCAACCAAAACCCTAATGTCACCTAGATACTCCATTGTCACCTCAAGTATCCGTGGGCATGATTATATGATATGCATCACACAATCTCAGATTCATCCAACCAACATAAAAGTACTTCAAAGAGTGCCCCAAAGCTACTACCGGAGAGTCAAGAACATGTGCCAACCCCTATGCATAGGTTCCCAAGTGTCACGAAACCCGCAAGTTGATCACCAAAACATACATCAAGTGGATCAATAGAATAACCCATTGTCACCATGGTTATCCCACGCAAGACATACATCAAGTGTTCATAAAAGACTCAATCCGATAAGATAACTTCAAAGGGAAAGTCAATTCATCACAAGAGAGTAGAGGGGGAGAAACATCATAAGATCCAACTACAATAGGAAAGCTCAGGATACATCAAGATCATGCCATAGAGGGAACACGAGAGAGAGAGAGAGAGATCAAACACATAGCTACTAGTACATACCCTCAGCCCCGAGGGTGAACTACTCCCTCCTCATCATGGATAGAGCCGGGATGATGAAGATGGCCTCCGGTGATGGGATCCCCCTCTGGCAGGGTGCCGGAACAGGGCCCCGATTGGTTTTTGGTGGTTACAGAGGCCTGCGGCGGCGGAACTCCCGATCTATCTTCTGTTCTGGAAGTTTTAGGGTATGGGAGTATATATGGGTGTAGGGGGTACGTCAGTGGACCTCCGGGGTGCTCACGAGGTAGGGGGCGCGCCCAGGGGGGGCGCCCCCCACCCTCGTCGGCAGCCTGGGACTCCCCTGACGTGCACTACAAGTCCATCAGGTGGGTTTCCTTCCAAAAATAACTTCTCCAGTTGATTTCGTTCTATTTTGACTCCATCTGATATTTCTTTTCCTCGAAACACTGAAATAGGCATAAAACAGCAAATCTGGGCTGGGCCTCCGGTTAATAGGTTAGTCCCAAAAATAATATAAAAGTGGATAATAAAGCCCAATATTGCCTAAAACAATAGATAAAGTAGCATGGAGCAATAAAAAATTATAGATACGTTGGAGACGTATCAAGCATCCCCAAGCTTAATTCCTGCTCGTCCTCGAGTAGGTAAATGATAAAATAGAATTTTTGATGCGGAGTGATACTTTGGCATAATTTCAATGTAAATCTTCTTAATTGTGGCATGAATTTTCAGATCCGAAAGATTCAAGACAAAAGTTCATATTGACATAAAAGTAATAATACTTCAAGCATACTAATCAAAGCAATCATGTCTTCTCAAAATAGCATGGCAAAAGAAAGTTCATCCCTACAAAATCATATAGTTAGGCTATGCTTCATTTTCGTCACACAAAGATGTTCCCAACTTCTATACCCCCAATGACTAGCCAAGCAATTGTTTCGTACTTAAATAATCTCAAACTTTTTCAACCTTCACGCAATACGTGAGCGTGAGCCATGGATGTAGCACTATGGGTGGAATAGAATATGATGATGGGGATTGTGTGGAGAAGACAAAAAAGGAGAAAGTCTCACATTGACAAGGATAATCAACGGGCTATGGAGATGCCCATTAATTGATGTCAACATGAGGAGTAGGGATTGCCATGCAACGGATGCACTAGAGCTATGAATGCTCAACAAAAGAAAACTAGTGGGTGTGCTTCCAACTCGCTTGCTCACGAAGACCTAGGGCATTTGAGGAAGCTTATCGTAGGAATATACAAGCCAAGTTCTATAATGAAAAATTCCCACTAGCATAAAAGGACAACTTATGAGACTCACTACATGAGGAACAAGGTGCTATTTTGAAGCACAAGTGTGGAAAAAGAGATAGTAGCATTGCCCCCCCTTTTTTTTTCTTTTTTTGGGCCTTTCTTTTTTCTTTTGGCCTTTCTTTTTTTTGGGCAATGCTCTAATAATGATAATCATCACACTTCTGTTGATTACAACATAAGGATTACAACTCAAAACTTAGAACAAGATATGACTCTATATGAATGCCTCTGGCGGTGTACCGGGATGGTGCAATGAATCAAGAGTGCATGTATGGAAAATAATGCATGGTGGATTTGCCACAAATACGATGTCAACTACAAGATCATGCAATGGCAATATGATAAAAGTCATGTATGTCATGATGATGATGGTGGAAGTTGCATGGCAATATATCTCGGAATGGCTATGGAAATGCCATGATAGGTAGGTATAATGGCTGTTTTGAGGAAGATATAAGGAGGTTTATGTGTGATAGAGCGTATCGTATCACGGGTTTTGGATGCACCGGCGAAGTTTGCACCAACTCTCAAGGTGAGAAAGGGCAATGCACGGTACCGAAGAGGCTAGCAAAGGCAGAAAGGTAAAAGTGCGTATAATCCATGGACTCAACATTAGTCAAAAGAACTCATATACTTATTGCAAAAATTTAGAAGTCATCAAAAACCAAGTACTACGCGCATGCTCCTAGGGAGATAGATTGGTAGGAAAAGACCATCGCTCGTCCTCGACCGCCACTCATAAGGATGCACAAGCCAGGTACACTTCATGTTTCAAATTTGTTACACAACTTTAACCATACGTGCATGCTACGGGACTTGCAAACTTCAACACAAGCATTTCTCAAATTCACAATCACCCAACTAGCACGACTTTGATATTATCACCTCCATATCTCAAAACAATTATCAAGCATCAAACTTATCTTAGTATTCAATTCACTCAAAAGAAAGGTTCACATATCTTGAACACCATGTATATTAACATTAAGAAAATTACCATGATATAAGTGAAGTACTATGAGCAAAAACTATCAAGCTCAAAAGAAATAAGTGAAGCACATAGAGTATTCTAGCAAATTCCAATTCATGTATGGCTCTCTCTCATTAAAGAATTTCAGATCTTGATACTTTATTCAAACAGCAAGCAAAGCTAAAGAAAACTACAATGCAAGCATAACACAACTCATGTGAAGAAGCAAAAACTTAAGCTCAACTGATACTAACCGATAGTTGTTGAAGAAGAAAGGTGGGATGCCTACCGGGGCATCCCCAAGCTTAGATGCTTGAGACTTCTTAAAATATTATCTTGGGGTGCCTTGGGCATCCCCAAGCTTGAACTTTTGTGTCTCCTTAATTCCTCTCATATCATGGTTTCTCTTCTTATTATCAAAAGCTTCATTCACAACAAACTCAACAAGAACTCATGATATAGGTTAGTATAAACCAATGCAAAACGTTAGCATTTTCTACTGTAAAAAATCACTAAATTATTCAACATTGCATATTAAATGTCTCTGCATATTTAATACTCCTATCCTCAAATAGAATCATTAAACAAGCAAACATAACAGCAATCTGCCAAAACAGTACAGTCTGTAAAGAATGCAAGAGTATCAATACTTCCCTGACTCCAAAAATTATCAACTAAAATTACCACTGTAATAAATTTATCATAGCTCAGTATGCAAAAAGATTCAACGTTAGACCATTCTCTGACTTTTCTAGGAAATTTTTCCAACAACGGTAAACTTTCTGTTTTCAAACAGCAACATGTATACAAGCAAAATAAGCATGGCAAAGGCTATCCTTGACTTTTTTATTGAACCTAAAGATGAAAAACATTATTATATCTAACAGCAAGCAAAAACTAGAAAAATAAAATGACGCTCCAAGCAAAACACATATCATGTGGTGAATAAAAATATAGCTCCAAGTAAAGTTACCGATGAACGAAGACAAAAGAGAGGATGCCTTCCGGGGCATCCCCAAGCTTAGGCTCTTGGTTGTCCTTGGATATTACCTTGGGGTGCCTTGGGCATCCCCAAGCTTAGGCTCTTTCCACTCCTTATTCCATAGTCCATCAAATCTTTACCCAAAACTTGAAAACTTCAACCACACAAAACTCAAAACAAAACTCGTAAGCTCCGTTAGTATAAGAAAATAAAACCACCACTTAGGTACTGTAATGAACTCATTCTAAATTAATATTGGTGTAATATCTACTGTATTCTAACTTCTCTATGGTTCATACCCTCCGATACTACTCATAGATTCATCAAAATAAGCAAACAACACATAGAAAACAGAATCTGTCAAAAACAGAAGAGTCTGCAGTAATCTGTATCCAACGTATAGTTCTTGAACCCCAAAAATTATGAAATAAATTTTTGGACCTGAGCAATTTGTCTATTAATCATCTGCAAAAAGAATCAACCTAAAATCACTCTCCAGTAAAAAATGGCAGCTAATCTCGTGAGCGCTAAAGTTTCTGTTTTTCACAGCAAGATCACATAAACTTCACCCAAGTCTTCCCAAAGGTTCTACTTGGCACTTTATTGAAACAAAAACTATAAAACATGATTACTACAGTATCATAATCATGTGGACACACAAAAACAGTAAGGATAAATATTGGGTTGTC